AAGAAAGAAAGAAAGAAAGAAAGAAAGAAAGAAAGAAAGAAAGAAAGAAAGAAAGAAAGAAAGAAAGAAAGAAAAAGTATTGTATCTTGGCTTAACAAGAAAAGGTGGTCAGTGTAAGATGGTATCATGCATTTTTGAGAATCTTGTGGAACCTGAACATTCCTCATCAGGGTGTCTTGTCAAGCTGAGAGAGCCTGAACCAATAAGAATGGAGAATTTAGCTAGTATTCTTAGTAGCAGATAAAGTGATGGACCGGGAGCTAGAACACCTGGGTTCAAATCCATGGTTGGTGTGGAAACCCATTGGCATGAATGGAACTGGGAAAGCCACTTCTTAAATATTTCACCTACACTGAAGGCCATACCAAAATCGCTACAAGTTGTTTCTGAGCACACAATACACACATACGTACTCTTTACATCCTTAATCTCACCTGTTCCACAGGGTTCTTGTGAGGATAAAATGTGCAGAGGGGAAATCATGGAAGAAATACTGCCCTCACTTCCTTAGAGCGAGGGTGGGATAAAAATGAAATAAACAATAAAATGGGGGGTGGGGGGCTTTCTAGAAGGTCCCAGATTCAATCTGTGGCACCTTCAATTAAAGGATTTGGGTAGCGGGACTCTGCTTCAGACTGTAGAGAGCCATTGTCTGGAGATGGAACAGTGGTCTGATAGAGCAGTGGCCCCCAACCTTGGGCATCCAGATGTTCTTGGACTACAACTCCCAGAAGCCTTCACCACTATCTCTGCTGGCCAGGATTTCTCGGAGTTGAAGTCCAAAAACATCTGGAGGCCCAAGGTTGGAGACCACTGGGATAGAGCAATAGTTTGATTCAGCAGTAAGCCATCATTTGTGTTGACTGTCTTTATTGCCTTAGTCCATAAAGTGCACAGGAAACAATGAAGAAATTATGGCTTATCTCTGCCATTTCTGGTTTGTTCAGTCATTCATTCATTTGCTCATTGATTCATTATACTTATATCCCACCTTTTTCTCAGTAAGGGATTCAAGGTAACTTACAAACTATTTAAAAGACAAAAGATTTTAAATTTTTGTTTATTTCTCTCTTGCTTCTTCTGTCAGCTCCTGCAGTTTTCTGAGTAGCCGGGGAAACAAACCAAGGACAACTCATAAATGTGGGTTTAGATCTAAGGAAAAGCCGTGGTTCAAACAAGCCAACAATAAACCATGGTTTCAGACTGTGGTTTGTGGCTGATTGACAAATCATGGCTTGTTAACAGAGTGTTTGCATATTACAACAAACCAGGTTTCCCCAAACAGTATTGTATCTTGGCTTGTTTTAACAAGAAAAGGTGGTCAGTGTAAGATGGTATCATGCATTCAGAAAGCCTGCCAGCCCCAGATAATCGGAGAAGACATAGCTTTAAGACACTTTCTGTTTGGATGCTGCTTTTAATTGTGAGACAGTGTCCTAAAAATTGTCAGAGGGTGTCTAAAATATGTCTAAGCTAGGCAATACAGAGACTTGAAGGCTTCTACGATCCAGGCACAGAGGCTAAGCTACCTTTTGATCTCAGCCCTCTTCATCCCATACATGAAGTCTACCTGTTTCTGAAGAGAGGAGATCATTTTTTCAAGTCCTTTCACCACAGCTGCAAGATCCTCTTCTGAAGTGTAGTGCTGAGGTGGCTCTTCCATGCTGCAATAATAATAGATTTTTTTTAAAAAAAATGAATATTTTTTTAAAGAGGAGAGAAGCAGGGGTTGATTTGTGAAAGTCCTTCCAGCTGAATGGTCTGCCTTGCTTGGAAGGAGCGCAGAAATGCACAGGTGACGTTCTAATTTCAGACACCCACCACAGGAGGATCTGGACATTTTCTCCCCCAGGGAACTTAAGGATGTACAATTTGTACAGCTGGATGGTCTCAAGTGCAAGACGAAAAGAGCAAAAATAAAAGGCAAACATCTGCCTCCACAGCAAATGCTTTGCAGGCAGTTTTGCCGACGCAGAATTACTGGAGGAAGGTGTTGCCACTTTTTTTATTTGAAAACAAGAGGAAGAGCATGACCGGGCAAGGCACCTTGACACTCTAGGCTTGGCATCTGAGGGCTTCTCCTCAGGGTAGCTGAAGCCAGAAGATCTTTTCCTCCGGAATTGTTGCGAGAGAGCCCTGAACTGCCCTCTTGTCCTGCAGTCTGGAAAAAAGAGAGAAAAGAGGTCATTTGAGGACAGAAATGCACCCCCCAATGTTGATCATCTCAGCATCCCATGTTCCGTCTTTCCCAAATGTTGGGAGATGTACAGGAAACATAGGACTTTCTAAACTAGTAATACTGATAATTAAGCTGGCTGGATAGCTCAGCGGTGTATGGAGAAAAGCTTTGCAGAGCCAGAGTTCAATTTCCCCCACTGTGTCTCCTGGGAGAAGAGTGGAAACATAGGACTTTCTAAACTAGTAATAATGATACTTAAGCTGGCTGGATAGCTCAGCAGTTTACGGAGAAAAGCTTTGCAGAGCTAGAGTTCAATTTCCCCACTGTGCCTCCTGGGAGGAGCCAGCCTGGGTGGCCTTGGGCCAGCTGCACAGTCCCAAGATACCCCAGAAGAAGGGAATGGTGAACCATTTTTCTGCCTAGAAAACCCTGGAAAGGGTCACCATAAGTCAGAGTTGACTTCACGGCACACACTCAATAACAATAATTATGTGCCATTGATTCCAATGCTCTGGGACTGTGCAGCTTGCCCAAGGCTCCCCAGGCTAGCTGTCCCCCCAGAAGACAAAGATGGGAATTGAACCTCTAATCAGAGCTCCAACCCAGCTTAGCTTGCCCAAGGCTCCCCAGGCTAGCTGTCCCCCCAGAAGACACAGATGGGAATTGAACCTCTAATTAGAGCTCCAACCCACTGAACTATACAGATACCTTTCTTACTAGCTTCTGCTGAAAAATCCATGATTCCATGCTGTATCCTCAGACTGAGCACCCAACAGCATGCATTTACCAAACCACATTTAACTTGTTTTGTAGCAAATTATGTTCCCCAGGCTAGCTGTCCCCCCAGAAGACACAGATGGGAATTGAACCTCTAATTAGAGCTCCAACCCACTGAACTATACAGATACCTTTCTTACTAGCTTCTGCTGAAAAATCCATGATTCCATGCTGTATCCTCAGACTGAGCACCCAACAGCATGCATTTACCAAACCACATTTAACTTGTTTTGTAGCAAATTATGTTCAATAGCTTAAGGCCGCTCTCATCTATATTCTGACTTTTATTGTGTCTCTCCTGTAGGACTGTTCATCCACCCAGCTTTTATTACACACATACCAAAAAACAAAACAAAACAAAAACCCTTTACCTTTACCTTTACCTTTACCTTTAGCATAAGGCCGCTCTCATCTATATTCTGACTTTTATTGTGTCTCTCCTATAGGACTGTTCATCCACCCAGCTTTTTTTACACACATACCAAAAAACAAAACAAAAACAAAAACAACCACTCAAGGTGGGTCTTGATTTTTTGGGGTCTTGGGTTGAGTCAGGTGAGCTCCATCTTGAAGTGGCTGACCAAGAATGAGAGGATCCCGCCCTATGGCTTGAAGGAGCACAAGGTTTTGATGGCAACATCAGCCTTTAAAAATCATAGTTACTAGCGAGAGGGTAGAAAACACAGTTTGTTTGGCTTTTATTTTTCATTTGCCATTGGAAGTTTTTTTTAAAAAAGAATCATTTTACTGAAAACTGTCTAAGACAATACCCAAGTTGAAGCCATATCCTTTGGCTCCAGCAGAGGGAGGGTGAGTGATGGTCCAGCTCTCACTGCTGTTTCTGCTGCAACGGAGGGTGTGGATCAGACAGCAGGAAAGGCACATGTCCGATCACACCAGAAAGGGAGAAATCTCTCTTAAAACAACCTGTCTGTATGGGAGCTGCTCCAGCCTGACCCCCCCAAATGTAGTAGCCCTGCCGTTAGACCAAAAAAGGTCCAGCTTGGGAACAGACTGGGGTAAGGATGGAGTGCAATTCACCCGTCATGGGACTGCTGTGAAAGAGAGCGCGTAGAACCACTCCACAAACGGACCCAAGTGTGTCGGTTTTCCTGTGTGTTCACACCTAGAGTGCCATCCCGTCTCTATCTGATCAATTCAGTTGACACTGTCCGGCAGCAGCTATCCAGGGTTTAAGGTATGGTTTTCCCCCCCAATCCTATCTGGAGAGGACAAGAAATGACTTGGGGACCTTCTACCTGGAAACCAGATGCCCAACACCAAGCTACAGCTCCTCTTCAGTGACACCTTCATCATTCTGAGTACCTTCGCAGCAGTCCTGCCACATGCGTAGATCCACTTGTGGGATTTCGTCACAGCTCACCATGCCCTGCGGGTACGGCGCCACCCGGAACACATCCTTCTGGAGTTGCTGGATGTGGTCGCTGTTGTCGCAGATAATACGGGCAAGCGATGCCTGCTTTATCTGGGTAAGCTGGGCTGGGGTGAACATTCCTGGATTCTCATACCAAAACCTGATGAGTCATGGCAAACAACAACATCAACAACCAGCCTAGTAGCAACAGACAAAGCATGCAGGACAGGTGCAATGTTTTGTATTGCCTCTGTTCGTTATCTAGAAGCATTTCTTCACTGCATTTCTCCCCAGCAGGGCTTCAAAAGCGAGGCAAAATAGAGGACAGCAGAAACCCCCCCCCATCCGTGGGATCAATATCCGCGGATTCACTTATCTGCTGCCTGAAAATATTACCGTATTTGCCGGCGTATAAGACGACTGGGCGTATAAGACGACCCCCCAACATTTCCACTCAAAATATAGAGTTTGTTACCTCCTCTTCCGCACACCTTCCACACACCAAATAAAAGGTGCTATTTATTGTCACCATTGTACGGCCGCAGTGCGACTGCAGTGCCTCTCCCTGTGACCGGCACTAGTGCGCAAGTGCGCATGTGTGAGCTCTGCGTAGACAAGGGGTGGGCCGGAGTGCCACTGCTTCCCACCAAGCAGAACGGGCCGGTCATGTCAAAAAAGCTGGCACCCCTGTCTCGCTGCTGATGCTCGCCGCAGCCGCATTGGATACCACGTGATACTGGACGGTATGTAGAATGAGGTGGACAGGCATCGGGAGGCTACTATGGGCACCGCGCGAGGATCGGAAGGCCACTATTGGCAGCTATGTCTATTCCAACTGAAGTGTACCTGGCATATAATACAAACCCCCCCCCCCACTTGGAGGCATGTTTTTAGGGCAAAAAAGTAGTCTTATATGCCAGCAAATACAGTAAATAGAAACCCAGAGTGTATTTACCAGAGATAACCACTAGAGGAAGGAAGAGACCATGCTATGTACAGCGTTTGCTAAGAGGGAGGAAGAGACCATGCTATGTACAGCATTTGCTCTTTCCACGATTTTCTGCATCCGCGGCGGGGGATGGGCATGGAACCAATCCCCCGCAGAGACTGTGATCCCACGGTAGATTAATTTTCTTTCTTTACAGCTGATTACAAACAATTTAAAAATGCAGCACTGAGCATGGTTTGCGCCTGTCTGTGAGCTGCCGAAAGATGAGCCCAGAAGCCCCAGAAGGAAGGGTGGCCCCCCGGTACTGTCCCCTCTAATTGAAGGAAAAGCTTTCTGGGATGGAACCTGGCCTCAGATTGCAATTCTGGGTTACCTGTCTCCATCCCGGAGCCTTCTAAACTGGGTCACCAAGAGGCACAGGAGAGTCGGCCCCACTCGGGTTCCGGGGACGAGGTCTTCCACCATCAGGGCTGGAAACAGGTCGATATTTTTTGTAATTCCATACAAACTGCACGAGAGGGTAAAAACAGGTCAACCGGGTGGGGTGGAATCGGCCAAGGTTGGTCTACGGGGGAGTATGTCAGTGGGACGGTTTTGAACTGTCCGGGGGAGTATGTCAGTGGGACGGTTTTGAATTGTCCTGTAGAGATAGGCACAAACCTCAGTTTGGAAGTTCGGGCTGGTTTGTACGCACGATGGGCACAAACCTCAGTTTGGAAGTTTGGGCTGGTTCGTACGCATGGCACTACAGGTGCCATGTGTTCCCTTCCCCCGCCTCCCCAGCCAAGCATGTTCCTCTCCTCCTCCTCCTCTTCAGTAGTTTGGCCAGTCCCTGGAAGAAGCACTGGTTCGCTTGTCTTGCCTCCTCATCTGAATGGGCGATCAGCCAAGGAGGTGGGGCACAAACTATTTGTACCCATCTCTCCACCACAGAAGACACTACTTCTGTGGTGGGTGCAAGGCAACCGAAACATAAAATCCATACATTCAAATTCCCAGGATTCTTTGGGGAGGCGTCTTCTTAAAAAATACAGTTGCTCCCTGTAATTCATTGGTTTTTTTTGTATATAATACTGTATTTGCTGGTGTATAAGACGACTGGGCGTATAAGACGATCCCCCAACATTTCCACTCAAAATATAGAGTTTGTTATATACTCGCTGTATAAGACTACTCCCTCTTCTGCACACCTTCCACACACCAAATAAAAGGTGCTATTCATTGTCACCATTGTACAGCTGCAGCGTGACCGCAGCGCCTCCGGCCCACCCCTGCATCTCCCTGTGACAGGACTAGTGTGCAAGTGCGCATGTGTGTGCGTAGACAAGGGGTGGGCCAGAGTCTGAGCAGAACGGGCCGGTCACGTTGAAAAGGCTGCCACCCCTGTCTCGCTGCTGATGCTAGCTCTGCGTAGACAAGGGGCGGGCCAGAGTGCCACTACTTCCCACTGAGCAGAACGGGCCGGTCACGTTGAAAAGGCTGCCACCCCTGTCTCGCTGCTGATGCTCACTGCGGCCGTGCTGGATACCGCGCGATATGGACGGCATGTAGAATGAGGTGGGCAGGCATCGGGGGGCTACTATTGGCACCAGGCGAGCATCGGAAGGCCACTGTGGGCAGCTATGTCTATCCCAACTGAAGTGCACCCGGCATATAAGACAACCCCCCACTTGGAGGCATGTTTTTCAGGGCAAAAAAGTAGTCTTATACGCCAGCAAATACAGTAGTTCTAAAAGTCATTGTTACACAGTCTGAATGATGATGACATTTAGCCTTAGTTTAGTTTACTAACTTTTTTTCAGGGGTTCTTTTCCTTTTGACCAACTGGGGGGCCATTTACAAAGAATTAATACATATTCTTTTCCCGATCTTCACTAAAAATGCTTAACAATAGCAAATTTAATATTTCCAAATTCCTGGCAAAATTTACATGGTACTTCTATTCCAACACCACTCATAGCATAGTAGTGGGCAGTTCTGAATTCTCCACCAAACTAGCTGTGCTGGAATAGATGGGTCTACCCCAGTGTAAATCTCCCCAGCCACTAAATTTACTCTAAGTGGCAGGAAAAAAAATCAAGTGTGATCCAGGTATCTGTCCTTTAGCTTCCTCCAATAAAGAGCTAAGGGAAATTTACAATCAGAAAAACTGTGTGAAATGAAACTTTGGCTCTGCAGATATTTGAGAGTTCAAATCCTACGTTCCCTGTACCATTGACTGGCTGGGACTTCTGGGAAATGAAGTCCAACATATCTTGAGGGTCAAAGGTTTCCTACTCCTGGTGTTTGTGTATACATGGGGAAAGGCTGGTAAAAACAGCAACACTGTTCAGTACTAGAATTTGCCGGAAACACCCAGATAGTGCTAACGTTGGAAATGCAGGAGTTCACAATGAGAGTCCTTACGCACAGCGTCATAGAACAGTCTGAAAATTCAGAAAGCCAGACCAGTCTTCTGCAAAATTAACGGCTCTTAATTGCTCACTCTGAATCAAAGCTCTTTTAAATGCTTTGCATTACAAGAGAATGTGCAACGATACACTATTCCTTAGAAAATTCATTTCTCTCCCGGCTACTGGGAGGACCGCAGCTAAATTCAGAGGAAAATATGAAGGGGATGGTCATGAAGTCATAGTCCCGGTGAATAAGAAAGTCTTGGAATTTTGATCCTGTGAGCCCTGGTTCCACTACGCCACTACCTATGATGGTCTAAAATGTAATATCTTCTAATTAGGGTTTTCAGATCTCAAGCTTTGGTCCTGAGACTGACATGTTGGGGTCCATTCCTTGAGTGTCAACTTTTCAACCTAGAATCCCATAGAATGGGATAACCTTAAAATTTTGTGGTCATCCCCATAGGTTTAAGGCATGGCATTTAGAAGCACCCGTGTCTTTTCATTGTCTTTTATTACATTGCATGCTTTAGAGCTGCTAAAGAGGCTATTGTTAACCACTGGAACTCATACGTGGGTCCTCAGTGGTTGGTAAAAACCACAGATTTTCAGCATTGCTTCTCTGTCTGTTGTAGACATAGTGCACACATGCATGCATGCATGCATGCATGCACGCACGCACACACACGCACACACACGCTAGCACGCACCACACACACACACCACGTGTGGGGGAACCTGAAGTTTGCAAACCTCTGTGGCCATTTACCTCCTGAGTTTTTCCCGGATTTCCAGATTTTTAATTTCATTCTTGAGGTCTTCGAACTCCTGGGCCAACGTGAGGTTGCAGAAGACCCGGAAATCATTATACGGGGGGATGCCATGATCACGCCCCCTCTGGATGTTGATGGCTGCCAGGTCCAGGGAGACGGAGTGCGCCATCGAGAAGAGCTTCTCCGTGAGCTCCATGTTCAAGAGTTCGGACGGGACCCGCATTTTCCCGGGGACCCCGAAGAGTCCACGGAGAAGAGGGTCGATGCCTCCCTCCTGGAGGATCCGGAAGGGCGAGAAGAAGGCCTTGTGAAGAGGGACGTGGCCCTGCGGGATGGGCTGAAAGGTTTCGTTGAGCCGGTAGAGGAGGGGGTTGATCAAGGTGTGCCCAAAGCGGAACGCAGCCGTGGCAAAAGCGTTCAGGATTCCAGGATGAGTGTCTGGATCGTAGCCGTTGTACACCCCTAAGAGTTTCATCCCCGCGTCCCCGAGGATCTTGGGCAGCCAGTGGGAGTAGGTGATGTGCTGCATTTGGGCTCCGACAATCTTGCGAGCCTCGTGGTAGACGGTGTCCCCGTCCCAGTCCGGATTCAGGGCCAGGAGCTTGGCAGCCACACGGTTGTGTTCACGGAACCACAGGGTGTGCATGGTGGTCAGGCCCAGCTGTTCGTTGGCGCGGTGGTCGCCCGCCAAGAAGCACGGCACCGGGCTCTCGCTCTCGTCCCTCATGCATTCCGTGGGAGGCCCCACGGCGAAGGGAAGGAGGGGCTTCCCGGAGCTCACCACCACCTCGCCTCGCTTGAGAAGTCCTCTCTGGCTGCTTAGGTCCCTCAGTTCCAGGGATTCATGTTCGGTGCTGCCATAGACGTTGGAGGCATCGATGAAAGAGGTGAGGTGGTTGATTTGCTCCCGGGCATAGACAGAGTTCATCAACAGGGAGGTCATGCCGCTGCCACAGACGGGGCTGGACCGGACAAAGAACATACAACGCCCATTCTTGACCCGGGGGTCGTTTTCCGGGATCATGACGGAGAAACAAGGAGGGTCATTGGTACACACCTGGCTGCAAGAGGCCCCATCGGAGAAACGTGCCATGCTGATGGCGGCCACCGTCTGGTCGAGGTCGTGGTCCAAAAACTGACCCCATTGCATCAGCATGTGCGTGAACCGGTCGTCGGGGGTCACCGTCTCGGTGCCAATCATGGCTGTCGAGACCAACCGTGGCAGTGGAAGAGGGAGCTCCCTGGAGTCTTCCACCAATGAGAAGCCCCTTGGAAGGTTGAAGCCATTCTGGTAGGCCGGCTTGAGCAGGCGTTGAAACGCCGTGAGGGATGCCCCCCACATTGGGTGCTGGAGGTTGTTGCAGGAGCCGTCGTGGGTTCGGTACTTCTGGTGGAAGCAAATATCGGAGCAGTTGGGCGCGCGGCGATGGGTGGAACAGCCAGAGAGGTTGGCAATCATGTTCAAGTAATGAGGGGAGACTAGGTCATTGTAGCGGTAACCTGCGAGAAAACTCCCAAAGTATTAGCCACTGGATTAGAGCAGAGAATAAGCATTTGGAAGAAAATAAATTGGATCAGGGTGATAGTTAGGAGGTCTGTGACCATTTAAATTCTCTTTAGTTCCTAGATCTTCTTCCCTCTGTTAGACCACCATGTTTTATGGGGCTCATAACTTTCCCATTACGAATTTCCATTTCTTAGGAGGTCCAATTCTAGGAGAAAAAACAGTGGCGCCTCTCATAGCGATCACTCCGTTTAGCAATGAAAAATTGCTTTGCGACGTATTTTTTGCTATCGCAAAAGCGATCGCTTTGCGATGTTCCCTATGGGAGAATTTCGCTTTGCGATGATCGGTTCCCTGCTTTGGGCACAGATCATTGCAAAGTGATGATTTTTTAACAGCTGATCGGCGGCTTCAAAATGGCCGCTGGTAAACAAAATGGCCGCCCGCTGTTTTCTGGGACGGATTCCTCGCTGCACAGGCAGCGAAAATGGCTGCACTATGGAGGATGTTCGCTGAACGGTGAATTTTAAGCCCATAGGAACGCATTAATCAGGTTTTAATGTGTTTCTATGGGCTTTTTTAATTTCGCATTGCGACGTTTTTGTTCTGCAGCTATTTTTGTGGAACGAATTAACGTCGCAATGCGAGGCACCACTGTATATGAATTTTTGCAAACAAGCCCACAAACCGGATAATAAATACTGCTATGCTTAGTTTGCTCGTTTAATTGAGTTAAAATTTCAGACATAATTAATCATAGAGGCAACCAGGGGGGAAACCCACAGAGACATACTGTAGTTCTGCCGCTTGACAGCACCGTTTCTATCAAACAGTCTCTGCTTACCCAGTCCCTTCCTTACCCAGCAGAAGGAATCAATTACTGATAACTTATAGATGTCATCAGTTACAATTACTTCCTGCTTTTTCATCTCATGTGGCTTCTTTCTGCCCACTTTTGGAATTCACAACAGCTCTTTGAGGTAAGTAGGTTGTGAGTGTCTGACGGACTCTAGCTGATCCACTGACTCTCATGGTTCAATAGAGACCAGAAACTGGAACTCCCTGGTCCCAGGTCAAGACTCTTACCACTATACCACACTACCCCTCTGCCTGCCAGCGACTCACGGCTGCTACTTTATACCTGTCCCATTCATGTCCACCACCAGCCCCTGCTGCACGTGTTCCTGAATGAGCTGTAAGGTCCTTTCAAAGATCTCTCCAGCGCGGGCCGTCTCGATCGTATACGGGTCTCGGGGGTAACGGAAAAGGGCCAGCAATTCATTCGGAGTTTTGGGCCGCCTGTTTGGGGAAGACAGAACAGTGAGGTGGTCAGTGGCATGAAAGTTTTCCCAACAGCGAATTTTCTGCAACATTTCTAACAACATTGAGCTCCTGAGTGGTTGGGGATGGGATTGAATGGCGCCACATCATGGCCTCCCTCCTAGGTGGTGGGATTCAGCTGACCTTGGAAGGGCGAAGAGAAGCCGTTTGCACCAAGGGGAGCATTTTCACCAGTGGAAGCTTATTCGTTAGGGTAAATTAGGTCATCGCCCCCTGGCCATGTGGAAAAGAAGGGATGATAGATACCAGGGTTGTGCAATTCAGGTTTTTTTATTTAGAATTCCGGGAGTCTGAACTCACAAATGCACCTGGTAACATCTTCATTTCACTCACCTGGAGAAAGGCTGGAAATCTCTTTCTAGGCCTTAGTATTTCTTGCTGCAATGCTTCCTGGGAATGGTAGTTTGTTGCCTTCTACGCTCTCTAGGGGGGCTGCTCTGGAAGAACCACCATCCCAGGAATCATTGCAGCAGCAGGAGGCACTGGGGCAGAAAATAAGGCCTAGAAGAGGCCTCAGTCTTTCTCTGGGTGAGTGAAATGAAGGTGTCTGCAGGTGTGGGTTGGAACTCTCAGAGTTCTGACTGGGGAATTATGGGATTTGGAATCTAAAAAAGGGAAGGGAAGGAAAACAATTGCACATCCCTATTATCCTTCCTCTCCAGTAGCACACAAGAGAGAAAGCAGAATCGTCCCTACTGGAATTAATTAAATCCCACCTGCTATGGATTTTGGCTCCATTCATTGACAACCCTGCCTTACCAGCTACTGATATGCACCAGTAGCTGGCAGCTTCTCCACTTCATGCCAGTATGAATCCATGTCCCTCCCAGTCTTACTTGCTAAACAATGTGGTGCGTGTCGAATTGATGGCCTGGTCAACACTGCTGATGGCTTCCCGGAGCGAGGTGGCTACAAAGGTGTCGCCACTTCTGCCGACATGGGTCGCTTTGTGGCATTCATGAGAAAACAGCACGAAGAAACAAACAAACAAACAAACAAATCCAGTTATTAAAGGAATTTAGCTGCAGTCCACCTTGGAACACAACCTATTTTATCCTTAAAAAAAAACACCTAAAAACATTATGAATGGGTTCTGAGCACACAAGTTTTACATCCACCTTGGAACACAACCTATTTTATCCTCTAAAACAAAAACAACCCCAAAACATTATGAATGAGTTCTGAGCACATAAGTTTTCCGGCATCCTCTAAGAGAAAAAGAGTGGAACTCAGTAAGAGTGACACAGGCCGTGCTTTTTCCCCACAGGTTTTTGATCTGGTTGATGACGGCTGATGGTTTTTTGCTCAGACTGGGCCACATACTTTTAATGCCATTTTGAAAAATGTGTTTTATTATTTTCTGCTTTACAGAGAAGTCTCAAGGGGTGCATTCAGGTACCGGATTGGGCTGAAGATTTAGATCTAGGCATTCTTCAGTCTTGAGAGACTATGGTCGCGTGCTCTCTATGGAGGTCTTGGAACAGCATCTAGTGTGGCTGAGAAGGCCTATGCGAGAGTGACCATCCCTTCCACACTGAAGACAAATACAATCTGTCCCCTGTCCAGCTCCCTGATTTTGCTGCTTTCGGGACTGCCTCTTTGCCTTGGCCTGCTGGACAAGGGAATCTTCAAATTGGGAGAGGCTGTGATGCACCGCCTGCCTCCAGGCTGAACACTCAGATGTCAGGGTTTCCCATCTGTTGAGATCCATTCCTAAGGCCTTCAGATCCCGCTTGCAGATGTCCTTGTAACACAGCTGTGGTCTCCCTCGGGGGTGGCTATCCTGCACTAATTCTCCATACAGGAGATCTTTTGGAATCCGACCATCACCCATTCTCACGACATGCCCAAGGCAATGTAGACGTTGCTGTTTCAGTAATGTATACATGCTAAAAATTCCAGCTCATTCTAGGACTACTCTATTTGGAACTTTGTCCTGCCCGGTGGTGCCAAAAGTGCGTCGGAGACTGGGCTGAAGACACAGCGTATGAAAAAAATAAATAAAGAAAGCTAGGCCAGATGTACAGTAGGACCAATGTATCCACAGGATCAGTACCTAGTACACTTCTGGTTATCCACTGCCTGAACTGTTTTTTTTTTTTTTTAATTACACATTTCCAAGTTGTATCAGTACCTAGTACACTTCTGGTTATCCACTGCCTGAATTGTTTTTTTTTAATTACACATTTCCAAGATTACAAGACCTGGCCAATAGAGGGAACCAATGACTATACTATATATATATAGGGTTTGCGTATCTGCCCTTTTTGGCATCTGCAATGCGGGGGCTTGAAACCAATCCCCCATTGATACTATGGGCCTACTGTATTTCTTGCAGTACACTTCTGGTTATCCACTGCCTGAATTGTTTTTTTTTAATTACACATTTCCAAGATTACAAGACCTGGCCAATAGAGGGAACCAATGACTATACTATATATATATAGGGTTTGCGTATCTGCCCTTTTTGGCATCTGCAATGCGGGGGCTTGAAACCAATCCCCCATTGATACTATGGGCCTACTGTATTTCTTGCCAGCTTCCCACACCAAATATATGACACGTAGCTGAGGTCCATTCAGTCTGTTCAGAAGTAAGCCGTTCCATACAAAAGACAGACTCCCGTTGCTTCCATATGCCACCATAAGTGCAGTGGTGCAAATCTCCGTGGCTAATGGCCACTAGTTAACAAGCTTTGCTTGTATTCATCACATGACCCGTGTCAGTGAGGAACAGAAGGGGCAGCTGTTGAACAAAGTGGCCATTCGCCACTGAAATGTATGCCTTTGTTCTTATGGCTATAAATGATAGGATTTTGGCCAGAACATTTCATGTTTAATTGTCTTTCGGTAACCTCTTATTTTCAATCATGGACTGGAGATTAGAAGAAGCTTGGGGGACAGATAGGGAACCCCTTGCGGGCCGTATCCAGTTTAATGCCTAGACGTTTTTAGAATACAGAATGAATTTCTCCTATAATTTTTTTTCCTCAAGTGCAAAACTAAACTCTTACGAACTGTGTTAAAGATCTAGAAAACATAAATGGTAGAACTGGGCAACAGGGCTGTTGAAAGTCCTTGACCTCTGGCAAATCTGTTGCCACGGTGGGAAAAAGACCAATTAGATATGAAATGACACCGAGGTTTATCTTACCAAGGACGGTTAGCTGCATAGTGCTAGAAGTGAATCCGAAGGTATTCCTGGCTACACATTCATACTTCCCTTGATCCGCCATTCCCAGATCTCGGACAGAGAGGGTCCCTTCTGGGCTAATATGGAACTTTCCGCTCTCTGTGATCTGAATTCCTTCCTGCGAAATGAAGACAGAATTTAGTATCTTGTGCAGAAGTCTCTTTTTGTTTGGATATGTAATGGTAGAATGAACCATGCCCTCTTCCGTATATATTTAAGTATTTATTTAAAGAATTTTCCCTGCCTTTCTCCTAAAAGGGCTTAAGGTATGACCTGCCTTTCTCCTTAAAAGGGCTCAAGGTATGGTGTTGCAGTTTGGAAAAGCTACTTTTTAAGATGGCCTCTTAAAATCCCCCTGCTGCAGCATCCTCATTGGTTTTCCATCAGCTTTTCTACTCTTGTTTCCATTGAGTTTCTAAATCCTAGAAAGAGCAACACTGTACACCCAACCCTTACATACCAGGGACAGGCAATTGTGAACAAGAGCTGAGGACCATTGCAGTTCATTGGTTTGACCATCAGATGGCAGTAAAGGCACTGTAAAATTCCTCAATTTTAAGGGAAAAATCACCACTAGCGAAACACTAAACATCAGTGGTTCTCAGCCTTAGGTCCCCAGCTGTTCTTGGACTACAAATCCCAAAACTCCTGGCCAACACAGTTTAGTGGTCAAGGCTTTTGGGAGTTACAGTCCAAGTACCTCTGGGGACCCAAGGTTGGGAACCACGGCTATATCTCATTGGATGCTTGCTTTTTTATTTTATGTTTTCTTGCAGGTTTTCTTTGAATCTTGGGACAGAGGGCTGGATCTGGATCAAGGAGGCCAGCCCAACCTGGAATCTCTGGGTGGACCTCCTGGAGACAGATTATAGCAGTTTGTTCACCTGTCCTTCATCTTGGAGGTGGCGTGGTTAAGGCACTGCTGTCTGTAGATCACAATCTCTCTACCCTTACTAGTGCTTGAGAAATCTGCAAGATCCAGGATGAAAGTGCAGATCAAGATGAGTATGTTTGTTTCTGTGCCAAGGATTACGATGCTTCTCCGAAACAAATCCCAGCTGGCTTCCTAGGTGTTGCTGTCCCCGTGGCCAGCTTTGAGGTCTGCTGTTTGGAGGCGCTCTTGAAAAAAAGCTTCTGAAAGGACCTCTATGAACAGACTGGCTGGAGTGGGGAGAGGGGATCCTTTGGACACCCTGTCCCCAAGCCACAAAAGGCCGAAAGGTCAACGGCAGCTTTGCTCTGCAACAAAGCACGCTCCTGGAGACAGATTATAGCAGTTTGTTCACCTGTCCTTCATCTTGGAGGTGGCGTGGTTAAGGCACTGCTGTCTGTAGATCACAATCCCTCTACCCTTACTAGTGCTTGAGAAATGTGCAAGATCCAGGATGAAAGTGCAGATCAAGATGAGTATGTTTGTGTGTGTGCCAAGGATTACGATGCTTCTCCGAAACAAATCCCAGCTGGCTTCCTAGGTGTTGCTGTCCCCGTGGCCAGCTTTGAGGTCTGCTGTTTGGAGGCGCTCTTGAAAAAAGCTTCTGAAAGGACCTCTCTATGAACGGACTGGCTGGAGTGGGAAGAGGGGATCCTTTGGACACCTTGTCCCCGAGCCACAAAAGGCCGTAAGGTCAACGGCAGCTTTGCTCTGCAACGAAGCATGCCCCTGCTTCGTTTCAGGTGTGGAAAAGGTTTTCAGGGCTTCTAGAAAGTTTGGGCACATCAAAAGAAGGCCAGATTCTCTGGAAAAGACAATAATGCTCAGAAAGGTGGATAGCAGCAGGAGAAGAGGAAGACCCAGGGAAAGGTGGAAAGCAGCAGGAGAAGAGGAAAGCCCGGTAGGAGATAGGCTCACTCCCTAAAGGAAGCCACAAGCGTGAGTCTGCAAGAGCTGAGCAGGGGGCACAAGCTTGAGTCTGCAAGAGCTGAGCAGAGAAGCTGAAGATAGGGACAGTCTGGAGATCGCTCATTCGTAGGGTGGCCATACGTCGGCGGCAACTTGAGGGCACACAACAACAACAACAGAAAGTGTTTGCATTCTGAGTTAGGTGGGGAAAATTCTATAGTGGAGGATCAGCAATTAAAAGTATTGCAGCAGGTGTCCTTCCTTGTTCTCATCCATCCATTCACCAGTCCGCCCACCCCCATTTATACCTGACCTGTCCTTCACAGTAAACATCATAGGTCACTTCCCCTCGGTTTTATTCTCCTGCAACAGACCCGTGAGAGAGGTCTGTCTGAAAGGGACAGAGGCTGGCCGGCTGGATCAAAGTCCCCCAGCAAACTTCATTAGGGATTTGAAACCCTGTCCTGGGCCAATGCTCCAACTGCTGCCCTAGGACGGTGCCGATACAGAAAGCAGCCCGTGCCATCACAAAGGTGGAGTCCGAGGGAAAAGGCAGCCTCCGTCCATCAGGCGTAGAGGCCCACGCCCCTGGGTGTGAAGCATGCATCGGGTCGGCGAGAAAGACTCAGACCTTGGACCACGTGATGGTAGGCGGTGGATCTCCTTGGGCAGCACAGGGCATCTCAATGTCTTGTCCGGTCTTTGCAACCGTATCTTGGGGAGGGCGAAGGAACACGGGTATCACTGTTTGGAGTCAAGCCAAAGAGAAAAGGAGAAGCATCAGAGCCTTAGGACATAGGAAGCAGCCTTTAGGCTGGGCAAAAACTAACCCTGGACTGCGAATTCCAGCTGGCTGTCTGGGTTTACAAGCAGGATTTGTTCCTGCCCTCGAATGGAGATTGCTGGTAATCCCTGGTGTTCTCCCGTTCAGGAACAAAGTAGGCCTGGCTCAGTTTTGCTTGCTGAATCAGACAAGACTCAGTGGATTCAAGATGGTAGGACAGTATTTTCTTTGCAAGTGTGAACTGGGAGGTAGGGGGGATTGCAAAGGCTCTTGCCATGAACGTGAGCCATTGCAGGAAAGCCCGGATTCACATGAAAAGGAACATTTGTGCTGTTCCCCCAACCCCAGAAAGTGAACAGAATCGGAAGATATTGCTGTTTATTCTTCCTTCTGTAGGTTTTGGTGCCTTCTTACTTCTGGCACTCTGGGTTACAGCCTTGGTTCCTCCAGTCCAAGTTAAGATCCTGGGGGAAAGTTTTTTTTAAAAAATGGTCTGGATGGAGGAAAGGGACAATCACGGCAATTTGACAGTCGGGACTCCGGTGTGTGAACCTACCTCGTGGAGTCACCCAGAACTGCACCGGGAAGCTCCGGACGCCGAGAGCGCTAATGGCGTGGCACTCGTACTGGCCTTGATCGTGAAGAGTGACCTGGACCACCCTCAGGGTCCCCGTGGAGAGGACGCTGTGTCGCTGATCGCTGGGCAATGGCCCACCTAAGAACAAGAGCACAACAAGAGCAAAACGTGGGGGGGGCAGTGGCATAGCAGAGATGTTTGGGGACCGCACGGTTTGCTCTGAGACCCGACAGAGATTCTGGGGTGGGCGTGCAAATGTCAAAGAAGCTGCTTTAAAGAGAAGACCTGCCCAGGACCGCCTGTTGCCCCCCCCCCGCAACAGCTACTGCAAATGAACATTGTGCTTGTGTCAAATGTGTAGCTGTGGTTCCTAAGGACACTTTGGAAATCTGAGCTTGGGTATATGATCTTTGCTATTTTTACTACAACTCCCAGAATCCCTCAGCCAGCCAGACTGGGCCTCTTAGAACTTTCTGTTGGAGGGTTTTTCTTTTCTTTTCTTTTTTGCAACCTCGCATGCTGCCTTTAGTAAGTTTGGCTGGGAAGGACCAATATGTGCTGGGTTGACTATTGAACTATCCAGCCATGACCCACTATTCCTTCCCTGCCTCTGAATTCAAAGAGAACCCTGCCTTTCTGCTCTGGTTTTCTTTCCTTCTCCTTATTCAGTGGGAAGCGGTGAGTCCACTGAGGCCTGCGGATGAAAGTCAATCAGCCATGTCTGTCTGTTTGCTGTTAGTGGCTCCCTGTAAGTGAATGAAACACTTTTATTCTTTCTCTTACTGATGTGTCTGAGTGAGTTATTGAGACAGTAAGTGCCAAAGGATGAGAAAAAAAAGTTATGTTAAGGCATTCTTCAGTCTCGAAAGACTATGGTAACATGCTCTGTATGGAGGACTTGGAACAGCGTCTAGTGTGGCTGAGGAGGCCAATTCGAGAGTGACAATCTCTTCCACACTGAAGACAAATCCAATTGGTCCCCTGTCCAGCTCCCTGGTTTTGCTGCTTTTGTGACTTCCTCTTTGCCTCAGCCTGCTGGACAAGGGTCTCTTCAAATTGGGAGAGGCCGTGATGCATCACAAAGCCCATGTTGCTGTACTTGCAAAGCACTAGGTTGAATGCTCAGAGGTCAAGATTTCCCATCTGTTGAGGTCTATTCCTAAGGCCTTCAGATCCCGCTTGCAGATATCCTTGTATCGAAGCTGTGGTCTCCCTCTGGGGCGATTTCCCTGCACTAATTCCCCATACAGGAGATCCTTTGGAATCCGACCATCAGCCATTCTCACGACAGGACTAATTCAGGGAATTTGAAGCTATTTTGCCCTGTACTTCTGCTGCACAGCTAGAGAAATTTAACAAAAAATTCAACGGTCTGCAACCCATTCCACCTCCTTGGTTTTTCAACAATGCACAAGGCTTGAATGTTTCATAGTTCACACCAGAGCTTGCAAAAGTTGATGATTGCGTAGTTGATTCATTAGATTTCAGATTATACATTCTCCCTGTTGGCTGGTGGATTTGGGAACCAAAAGCCAATAACTAACTTTTGCAAGTTCTGATACTATAATTTCTCCAGTTCTACCTCAAACCCTTTCACCAAGACACAGCACACAGATTTCAAAGACAGGAAAAGTCTGGCAGGAACATTGCTCTGGAAGGCAGGCAGTCCAAGGGCGAAGCAGGGCGAGAGACCAAATCAAGACCAAAACAAGACCTCACGAAACCCTGCGAGAGGTCGCCTGTACATGTGCCATGCAGAGTTGCTTAACACTTAATCCCCAGCCATTCAAGCATGAACGAGGGAGATTTCTCCATGATGCATCAAAGCCAAGAAGCTAACACTGGCAGAGCAGAAGGCCATAACTGGCTCTGAGCTTTACCTTACAAGTCTCTGTATCCCTTCTGCGTTCGCTGCAGCTCACCTGTTTGGCAGGCTTGAGGCTAAACACTAACCTTTCCAAAGCAGAAGAAGGGAAATCAGTGAAGCTCTAATAACTAGCTTGGTATTTGCCTTTCCAGGAGCTAAGGTGGCCCCTGTGAACTTTTCTAAGCTTTGAGCATGTGACATGCTTACAGACAACAGCAAAACACATGGAAAATACCTGCTCTTGTCCAGGCGATAACGGGTGTAGGATGGCCCTCTGCAGAGCACGGGAAATCAACACTTTGACCCTCAGTCACGGTCTGATCAGTCGGGGTGACCAAAAACCTAGGTGTATCTGAGGAAGAAAAGAACCAGGCCAGAGGAGAATAGCATGAGAGTCAATACCACTGAAGATGGTAACACTCTTTTCCTTGTCCCCCCTTCAAATGAGCAGGAGTGGGCAAAATGTAGAGCAGCCGCTGTTGTTGTTGAGCTACAACCTCGAGTAGTCCTAGTCAGTGCTGAAAGACTTTGAGAGATGGCCTTCCGACCATCTCTGGAGGACTGAACCTTACCCACCCCACTGCTTATGGGGTGTCCACACCTATGCTCTCAAACAGCAGTGCTTCTTTCTTCTATGGTACAGTATATAGAGTGGTCACATTAAACAGATAGGTGGGATATAAATAGAATAAATAAATAAATCCTTTTAAAAAAAGGATCTTGGCAAAATTAGAGGAGAAAAAGAAATGAGGTGAGATAGGGCAAAATATTGTGGTACTTGAACGTATTTTTTCCAAGTCGTGTTTGTGAATCAAAATTCACTTTTTCTGAGTGAAGTGTTTATGCAATCAGTTAACTAGACAAATAATGAAGTTCACTAGTTAAGATCTCATAATATGTAACAAGTAAATATGCTTGTTTGTTATTCTGATATGTATGAAGATTTGTGAGTAAAACAGAAACTTTTAAAATTCTTTTTCAACACCAGTCTCTGATTGAATCTCAGCGAGGGGTGAAGGCTTTTAGTCCAAGAACATCTGGGGACCCGAGGTTGGGGACCACTTCTTTAGATGTATGGGGAACAACTGGAGGAGGGAAGAGGCTCTCCAATAATCATAATGAGCTGTACAAGAGATCACCCTGGCTACTGTGCAACAACTTATACCAGGAACAAGTTCATTCCTTTCTAATGAGGGTTGCACTTTCATTCCTCATTCTGGGACTTGGATCTGCCCCAGAATGAAGGATATTCTTCTTCCCTGACCTTCTCAACTACAGGGAAAAACCTTATGGACCTACATAGATGCTTGTACATTTTATGCCCTCAACAAAAATACTGCAGAAAATAAAAAGTTTTATGGGCAAAAGTTTTAAAATATATATTGATTCTTCCCCCTTTTCTTCCTGTCTTTTGGCTACGACTGAATACAGTCAATTAGACCTATCATTTTTATAGCATGTTTGGAGATACTGGGATATTTCACATACATTTTCTCCTTTCGGGAGCCCTGTAACGTAGGTTGGCATTATTACACCACAAAAATAAGGGTTGATGGGCTGAGTCTAAGAAAGGCTAAGAATAGGACAGCTCACATAAAACCACCAAGTGAGTTCGTGGCAAAGGCAGATGTTTAATGAACAGCTTCTCAGTCTGCAACTCAGCCTTTCCCTGCCTGAGATGTTCTCCCTGTCTCAGAATATAACTTCCTGGTTATTATTGGTGCATGATAGTCCAGCAATACTTATTGTGAAATAGAGCCAATCCTCATTCAATAAGGAAACAAAAAAATGGGGTCACCTCAAACAAAAAATTGTAATTTGAAACTGGTACAAGAGGGGATCCTGTAGACCATCTTGACTGCTGACATGGATATCATCAACATGCAAGCAGCCCTTGGCTACATAAAACTCGGCATCTTTTTTCCTGCTGGCAATGCGGGGCTGATATTGTGCAGCAACATCGGGGCATTTCCTGGCTTTTTGAATAATGCATACAGAAGCACAATATCAGGTTTGTTTGTTCGGGTTTTTTTTGGAAGAATTCTCTTTTTCTTTTTTGGTTTCTTTTTTATTTTCTCCATCTTGAAGAACTGGCTATTTGATGTAATAATTTCTTTTTTATGTTTATTTGTTGTCCCATGTGTTTGTAAGCTGCCTAGAGTGGTTGCAAGACCAGATAGGCAGGATATAAATAGAATAAATAAATAAATAACTAAAATGTTGATCTTTCTGACTTATCCTAATTTTGTATTAACCGGTGTATAGTTGTCAATGTATTGGAAGTCACCTTGTACAATCACATTTGCTGTTGCCTGGATAGAGCCTTCGCTGTTACTGGCATTGCAGCTGTATTGTCCCTGGTCTGTGAAGGTGACGTTTTGGATGTAGAGGCCCCCAGAGCTGGTGATGGTGAAGCGAGAGTCTCGTGGCAAAGGAGATCCTGAGCTCAACATCCAGGCAACACGAGGGGGAGGGTGCCCGGACACCCCACATTCCAATGTTACACTCTCCCCCACCAGCACTTCGGTGTTCTGTGGTGGGATCACAAAACTGGGCTTGGCTGAAAGAAAGAGGGAGACCATTTAGTTAATAACACTTAGCCTCTCTGTTGCTTTTAGAAATGTTCACTCAAGATAGTTCAGAATCAGCAGCTAACAGTTTTCTTCCCATGTGAATATTGGTAATCCTAGGTAGAGGGAGGGATTCTATGACATGTCATATTTTTTTCTGCAGCCTGTGTTTGAACCTATAAGTAGGTTTGGACATGTCGTTTTCTGAGAAAGGCCAAATTACTCATAAATATGTTTTAACTTGCTTGTGGGTTGGATTATAGGTTGCAGAGAAAGTGTGACATGTCATAGAAATCCTCCTGTTTTTCAGTGTTGGGTTGAATGTCAGTGGGCTGTGATAAGCACATTGAGATGACTGTCCAAAAGGGTTAAAAACAGGGATGGGGAGAAATCCTCCTGTTTTTCAGTGTTGGGTTGAATGTCAGTGGGCAATGATAAGCACATTGAGATGACTATCCAAAAGGGTTAAAAGGGGACTCGAGTTGCAGGACCCGCTGTCAAGTTGGACTTAAGTCACACCAGTTACTTGACTCGGACTTGACTCATGTTTCTTTCTTTTTTTTGCATTATTTCTTTTTTTAAAGTTTTTTTATTGATTAATAACACAAACATACAAAACAAACACAAAACACATAATTGGGGAGAATATTTTCCATATATCCATCTAACATACAATACTGACTGCATGTACCATATTTCCCTACTTAACATCTTTAGGCCATATCCATTTGATATATAAATCTGACTACACAAACCCCAAGAATTAACATACATAAATTGTCAATATATAAACGTAAACCTGTATTGATCTTATATTCAAGCCACTCTTAATTGCATAAACCAACTATAGTTTATGAGACTTGACTCATGTTTCTTTATTCAATGACTCGGACTCAACTCATGATTGGAACCCACCCAACCCCCCAACCCTCCCTTTTTTAATGGAAAAAAGACCTTATTTTTAATAGGGACTCAAGACTCAGTACCAAAGACTCAGACTCAGACTTGAGACTTGGTACCAAAGATTTGAACTTGGACGTGGACCCAAAGACCTGCCAACATTCCTGGTTTGGATGGATGGATGGATGGATGGATGGATGGATGGATGGATGGATGGATGGATGGATGGATGGATGGATGGATGGATGGATGGATGGATGGATGGATGGATGGATGGATGGATTTGTCTGGGATCCCCAGCATTCACATGCAAGTTTCGAGACAGACGTCAGTTCACACATTCGTTCGAACAAGCACTTAAAGAGAGATGCCGACTAGTCAAATAGACCTGCTAGGAACAGAATCTTAACTTTCCAAGGATACATAATGCCATTACATGGGTTGCCAAAGTAGCGCAGGACAACTTCTTGAGCCTTGGCTTCCCCAGCAACATTCTTGGCCATACACTGATAGGTGCCTTTGTCCGATTCCCGGGTGTCTTGGATCATTAAGGTTCCATCCTGCAGCAGGTTGAGCCGCCCGTCGTCCTTCATGTTGATTTCATTGCTGAGAAACAGAAGATGGAAGCAGTCTGAGCCACACCAATACTGAGATTGGTCTCCTCTGGTGACTGTTCAACTTGGGCTAAGGCTGACATCATGAACTCTAGCCCTGAGGTTCAGTGGTCAGGTCCAGTTGACAAGATAATTTTGCCAACCACCCTATTGTGGGTTGACCTGAAATTGGTGTTAAATCTCGTCACTTCCAGATTTGTTCTGAGTAGACTTTTGGGTGGAGGCTTAGATGCTAAAAATTGCCAATCCGAGAGCCCCCCCCCAAAGGAATGGGAAGATAAGTTGCTTTGTTTGTCTGTTTTTTAAAAAAATGGGATTCACGTTGCCCACCCCTGCCAAAATGGGAGACTTACTTGTTATGGAGCCAGATGATCTTGGGTTTGGGATTGCCTTCTGCCCTGCAGATGAAATAAACGGTGTTGCCCAGGGTGGCGTCTGCATCTCGTGGCTCGGTAGTGATGCGGGGCCTCTCTGAAACAGAACATGAATGATGTCTGCTTAAGAGCAGAAGGAGGTCCAAGGTGGAGGTGTGGCTTTGCACATTTGGATGAGACTTTGCAAATTTGCACAGTTGGACTAGACTTTGCAAATTTGCGCGTTTGGACCAGATCCCTGCTCTGTTCTGCTCTCTCCCAGTTTGTTAGGCTGTTCAATGATGTTTATGAGGATGAGCCATCAAGTCATTTCCAACTGAGGGCAACTTTCCCTTTCATCATCCTACATTGTCCCTTCTGCCTGGAGACATTTTGAGGAATAGAAATACCCACCCCTGGCTGTAGAGCCAAGTGCTCCAGCCCACTAAGCTATATCAGCCTGCAGGCTCCTTGGTTAGTTCGTTATGTGCCATTCAGTCATACCCAATTTCTATAGTGTAGTGTAATGAGATTGAAGGAGAGTGGAACTTGTAGTCAGAGATTAAAAGAAAGTGGGATTTGTAGTCAATGAGAAATAAAGCAAATTGAGTCTGTTAGGCTTTAAAAATGAAAGGAAGACATGGTAATGTGAGAAAGGCAGAGCGGTTGTTTTTCTTAATTTACAGCCAGCCTGGTACAGCGTGAAACCTGATAAGAATGCAAGGACAAAGAGGCCCAGAGCGAGGAGATCCAACAAATTCTTTTCTAATTGGAATGGAGATAAACCATCTGCATCTCCATGAGAACTGTGGGCAGAATGGACAGTTACGCCTCTTTGAGTTGATTGGTTCAAGCAGTTACACCTCTTTGAGTTGATTGGTTTAAGGTCATGAAGAAGGAGGTCCGAGAAATGTAGAGAATGGACGATGGGTTATGTGAAAGAGAGTTCATGATGAAGGAGTAATTCCATGATATAAGAGAGGTTTTTCATCACCATTATCATGGCTTAGAAGAGAACTTGATGGTTTGTGTATGCAGCTTGAAGGAAAGAGAATGTAGGTAAGAGAAAGAAGGTGGGGTTAGCTCACTTTATCCCAGTTTTAGTGTTTGTTATTTTTAATGGGAATCAGTTGTTGCATTTAACTATGGTAAACTTTTGAACATGTTCTTTATGCAATGCTTGAGCAAAAACAAACGGTTTCTAGGAAACTATATTTTCTTAATAAAAATTAATTATAAAAATTTTCACTAAGGATTGTCTCTTGGATCAGCAGGGTTTGGCTAAATCCAGAGGAGTGGTAACAGCCATTGACTAGATGTCAGGGAAGTCCTAATGAAATGAGCTGTTGTGAGTTCTTAGAAATCACACAGCCCATGTTGCTGTACTTACCAGAGGAGTGGTAACAGCCATTGACTAGATGTCAGGGAAGTCCTAATGAAATGAGCTGTTGTGAGTTCTTAGAAATCACACAGCCCATGTTGCTGTACTTACAAAGCACTGGGTAAAAGTAAAGTGTTCTTTTTGAGGTCAGGCTTGTTCTAGGCTCAAAGGCTACGCGCTGCTGGAGGTTGAGGACTTGCTCCAGTGAAAAAGGTGGTAGATTTGTGGCTGAGGAGCACCCTGACCTCCCTAAGGAGCACGAAGGACCCGTGTTCCTTAGGGAGATTCGGTCCTGACATACAGCAACCCTAATAGGAAATTCACGGTAAGTGAGATATTTAAGGAGTGGTTTTACCAATTTGAAACCCCAATGAGAGTTTCCATGGCCAGGTAGAGATTCGAACCCTGGTCTCCACCATCCTATTCCATCATTCTATCCACGTCACCACTCTGGCTACCCAGCAGACAACTTACCACAGTTAAATTCTTGAATGTTCAAGGTGACAATGGACCGACCTTGCAGCTCCCTTGGACTCTCACAGGTGGCAGCTGTTTGGGCGTTCCCTTGGATGGCATATTTCTTGAGGAGTTCTGACAGCCACATCAGGTCACAATCACACACCAGGGCATTGGAGTCCAGACGGCTGGGAAAGGGAAGTGAGTAAAAAAAAAAAAGAGAGAGAGAGAGAGAGAGTAGCTTGTGTTAGCCCAACTCCGTTGGTTGTTAGCCATGTAGGATTGGGCTGTCTTCGTGTTTTGCCTTATAGTGAGAGAAATCATTGTTTTATATGGCCCACTATTGTCTACACCAGCCTCTGGCAACTCGACACCTTCCAGGTAGGTTGAATGACAACTGCCTTCACTCCTAGCTTTGTTGTTGTTTAGTCGTTTAGTCGTGTCCGACTCTTCGTGCATGGACCAGAGCATGCCAGGCCCTCCTGTCTTCCACTCCCTCCTGGAGTTGGGTCAAATTCATGTTGGTCGCTTCGATGACACTGTCCAGCCATCTCATCCTCTGTCGTCCCCTTCTCCTCTTGCCTTCCTACTTTCCTAACATCAAGGTCTTTTCCAGGGAGTCTTCTCTTCTCATGAGGTGGCCAAAGTATTGGAGCCTCAGCTTCAGGATCTGTCCTTCCAGTGAACTCCTAGCTATGGGTTTGTAAAAGCCAGTCTACCCTCTTGATGATTCCCTCAACATATCAGAATGAGATTCTTCACAGACTTCCCTTTGTTATGGAAGACGTTGGGTCATCTGTGTGCAAAACCCATCAGGCTGGGGTCTGCTTTGTTGCCTGGATCAGACACTGCATGGGAATTCCTTGAGTCCACAGAGGGGAAACGAGCGATCAATGAATGTGCCAACAAATAATGTGTTCTGTCATGGAGGGATCAAGGACCATTTAGATGGTGAGTTATCAAACAGACCCCAGATTTCTCATTGCTGCTAAAAGAATCCGTGCAGATAAAATTTTGCAAATGACAGGTTCCCATATAATTCTGCTGGGCCACATCCACAGAACCCCATTCAGAACTGAGGGAGGGGGCAATTTCTATATATCTGGGGGCTGCACAAGCCTACCGTGGACCTTGGAGGGCTATACAATACTCCACACTCCCAACCCCCAATTTGTATTTTTTTAAAAGAAAGCTTTTCTTAACTGCAGATAAAAATGCATCATTTAACTCCCAACCTCTGGCTTCGCAGCCAGATGCTTAAGCCACTGAGCTATCCAACAGTTCATAGCACTAGGAGTTGTCGCCATGTATCAACACTCACTGGTAAAACCGACCAGAATCTACACTTGCGATTAGATTCCCCTCTAGATTTCAGAACCCTCTAAATTTTGGTGCCTTGAAACAAGCCCCAGTTGTCCTGCCCCTGCCATGCCTGGCTGTTATCCACTTACAGCCGTTTAAGGGATTCCAGTCGAGCGATGGCTCCAGGTTGGATTCTGGAAATCCGGTTGTTATGCAGGAAGCTGCAATGAAGATAAGGAGGAGGGCCACAATGTTACTTAGCACACATTGTGATAATCTGCCCTGCATGACCCAGAGAGAGAGAGACACAGAGCTACAGCCATCCCAGTGATTGGGTATGGGTTTAAAAAGCATACACTCCCTCCAAGCAATCTTTCCATAGGGCTAAACTGCATTTGATCAGAGACAGAAAACATTGATCACTGGTCAAACATTGATCACTGGTGCCAACAAGGACCAGTGATCACTACACACAAAAGACCAGCTAACGACACCCATCAATCACAGTGACAGATAATCTTTCCTCCTTCTCACAACAATACACTCATAACAAAAACACACTGATCACCCGAATCACCCATCTCCTGAAAAGGACAAAAGCTGATCCAACAGCTATAAATACTCAACTCCCAAACAAACTGCACCAGAGCACAGAGTGCTGTCCTCTCAAGATGCTGGCCACATAGACTGGTGAAACGTTAGGAAGAACAACCTTCAGAATACGGCCAAAGAGCCCGAAAAACTCACAACAACCATAGAAAATATTGCTTTTTTTTGTCTGTCAGAGAAGATCAAGAAGGATACACTTGACCAATGGTCTGGATCATCCACCATGAGACCTAACATTGTTCCTTAATGGCAGTCATTAAACAACAACCACAATCTTAGAACTGCAGAGCTGGAAGGGAGGCTCTGGATCATCCAGCCCAGCCCCTGACAAGGAGGCCGAGTGGGGGAATCAAACTCCCAACCTCTGGCTTCATACAGAGCTATCCAGCAGTTCCAATGAACTGCTACTGGCTTAGGTCTTATAGGGAGAGGCACATCTGGGCATTTTCCTCTTATATGCTAAAAGAACATTGCCAACTTTAGGTACGTAAATGTGCGCGTTGACTTCAGTGAGTGGAGACCATTTGCTATACAACCTCAGGTGGCAACATGCCTTGTGCCATCTCCATAGCTCCCTCCTGCCCAGGGTTCGTGGTTTGGTTTGAGACCCGGTTCACGGATCCGTTTTGCCAAAGTGAAATGAAGTGCCCATCTTTGTTTTCCTCCTTGGCGCTTCGCTGTGCTTGGTCAAAAACGGATGCTTTCCCACCTGCTTCCCACCGCCGACATCACCTTTCATCACTGCTGCCACCCTCAGAGGCAGCAGGCCTGGCTTCCCTTCCTGGAACGGGGCCTGCTGCTTCCGCGCATGTGCCCGCCTCTCAACTGGGCGGCAGGCACATGCACAGAGGCAGCAAGCCCCACTACGGGAAGGGACTGCCTCTGAGGATGGTGGTGGTGGCAGGACCAGATGAAGAGGTGATGGAGGCAACAGGAAGCAGGCAGGCGGGTGGCAGAAGAGGAGGAGAGAGGAGGTTCCGCCCCCCCATCACCATGAACTGGAAAAATGAAACTGGTATTTTTTACAGGGTTTTGTGGTGGTTCGCAGCTAACCACGAACCATCATGAACCACTGGGTTTCCAGTTTGTGACCATCTCTATTCTTGATTCAAGAATTGGGCCAGGGAGATTTTTCACTGTTTGTGAAGATCTCTGCCACGGGGAAAGAATCACGCTCAACTTTGACGCTTCCGGTGACCCATACGCTGGTCCAGTTCTCCTGGAGTTGCTGTTTACATTCTAAGACACACATAGGCTACTTGCATGGATATTATTTGCATTAAAAAACCGCCATGTATGTTATTTGCCTGCATGCCATTTCCCTTCAAATGAACGTTATGTGTTATATGCAGGCACACAGTTAATGGGTTCCATGCACATCAGGTTGGGCCACTGAGGTGATGGATGCAAACCTCTAGTGAAATATTATGGCGGTGAGTTCCAGGGCAATTTTAGGGGTTAGGTTCAAATGATATCTGAAGACCCACCTCTTGGAGGTTGCAATGTTATAAGTGTCATGTATTATGTGGCTGATTTCAAGCAGGGGTTGGGGAAAAACAGATATTTGGGGGAAACTGGTATGCAGAGGAAGTCTTCACCATCTCCTCCCCCAATCTTTTGGAGTTAGCATCCTTTGGATTGCTCATAACGCAAAGGCCTCCCACTTCCGATCCTTGTTTTCTGCACACAGAGGGAACCGCTTCAAAGCCTAGCGTCTTGGGCTTTTGCACCCGATACGCATGCCAAAGGTACCACCAACCCCCCGTCATGACTTACAGTCTTTCCAGTTTGGGCAGGTCACTAAAAGTCTCAGGCTCCAAGGTTTCAAGGTTGTTAAAATGCAGGTAACTGGTAGGAAGAGAGGAAATAAACACATATACTATTAATCACTAGATCATAAGCTGGGGTACCATCGGGTGCTTTAAGCCATGCGTTAAAGGCTTCTGCGAGTCCAAAGATCTATTCCCTGAGGTGGATGATGATTGGGTGTCTGTGTTATACATTGTCCTTTTTCTTGTACATCTACATTGTCCCGTTATAGCAGTGCAATAGCACTCAAATTGCCATGGCTCTACCCTATAAAAATCCTACAACTTTTTGTTTGGTGAAAACAACAAGTTTTCACCAAAGGATACTGAGAATTCTCTGCCGTAGTTCTGGGAAGTGCACTAGACTTTTCTAGCATAGACGTCTGAGTTCTTTGCCAAACTATACATGCCAAGATTCTGTGAGATAAGACACTGCCATTAAAGTAGTATCCAACTGCCCTAAGCTCTGTAGTGTAGATACACTTAGTAATGTACAGTAGGTCTGAATCATTCAGTCATACGTGGTGCAGAGAGACACGGCAGAATGATCTGATCTTTGAGGACTGTGCCTGTTGTAGTTCTGGATGAATCCCTCCTTGGAATCAGGCCAGAAGGTACAGCTACATTTTTGACTTGTGCCAGGTTGAAACTGGGTAGTTGGCTCATTTGAGTGAAACTAAGGGTGCAATAGCTGGCATTTTGAATCACTGTTGGCCTGGTCTGGTGCAAGCTATTTCATGATGATCACACAACATGTGGGGGATCGTGAACCCATCTGACTCTGGTCTTCCATCAAAGAGCAGAGTTTATTTATCAACTATAAGTCATTAAAATACGTTAAAATAAAATAAAAGCAGCAGGTGAGATAATTAATTAAAAAGCAAATACAATGAGACGTAAATAGGAATCAAAAAGACAAAGGTACAGGAAACAAGCGAGCTCGGATGTTAATTGCAGCCAAGGCAAAGTTTGCCACGTTTAAGGTGGTATTGGCGTTGATGTCAGCCATCTGACTCTGATCCATGCCCAAAGTGGACCATTTTGGTCTTGAAGGAGGTCTACTCTTTTCTTGTGGCCAGGCTGGAGTGATTTGCACACAGATGGGCGTATCGCTTTAAAGGAGACCCCTCCCATCGGACACAAACGTTTCTTGCCACCTGATAGCTTTCTTCCCTTGCAATCTCCTAAAGCAAACCCAAGGCAAAGTTTGCCACGTTTAAGGTGGTATTGGCGTTGATGTCAGCCATCTGACTCTGATCCATGCCCAAAGTGGACCATTTTGGTCTTGAAGGAGGTCTACTCTTTTCTTGTGGCCAGGCTGGAGTGATTTGCACACAGATGGGCGTGTCGCTTTAAAGGAGACCCCTCCCAGCAAAGGAACCCTTTCCGGTGCCATTGGACACAAACGTATCTTGCCACCTGATTGCTTTCTTCACTTGCAAACTCCTAAAGCAAATCTCATGTTACTGTGAATTGAAAGGCAGTGTGTCTCAGTTATCAGAAATGATCAGAATCTGGCAAATTTGGCAGTAAAGGATGCTAAAATAAATAAATAAATCATTTGTTTAAAAAGCGAAACATGGCTCAATTGTTTCCAGCAAAGCAGCCAGAAATTCAACAGGAAAGGCTTTCCTTACTAGTGCATCTTCATGCTGGGAAATCTACACTTGTTGAATTTCTCCCTGCCATTCATTACATTCCACACACAAAGGGAGGGCTGCAGTCTGATCTACAAGTAGCTATCAAAGCCAGTATGCCAACTGGAGCCCAAAATAAAGGGAATTCTTTGCTATTTTTATAGACCACATTTTTCTGTGTATAAGACACCCCCATGTATAAGACGCCCCCCACTTTTCTAACCCAAAATTAAGAAATCTAAGTGGGGCTTAGCAAATGTAGGGTAAAAAGGATCAAAGTGCTGCAGGATGGCTTTGATCCCTGCTTTCTCCCTTTGTGCTAAGCGCTGTGTGCTTAGCAAAAGGAGGGAGAAGGGGATCAAAGCAATTCCATGAATGCACAGTCATTTTGATTCCTTTCCCCCTTATTCAGCTATGGGATTGCTTTGATCCTTCTCCCCTCCTTTTGCTAAGCCCCATGGGACTTAGCAAGCAGAGGGGAAAGCAGGGATCAAAGCGATCCTGCAGCACTTTGATCCCTGCTTTTTCTCCGCTTGTTTTTCTCTTCAGCTTACTTCCGTGTATAAGACGACCCTCAATTTTTAGTCTAAAGATTTTAGACAAAAGTATAGTCTCATACACGGAAAAATGCGGTATATACACTCTGGCTAGAGGAGACCAGAACAGAAAAGCAGCACAACAGTTCTTCAATGCTGTAGTACTTCTCAACAAACCTGATGCAGTGCGATTGTACCTATGTGTTGACACAGCCTTAGGACTTCAATGCTCATGATGCCGTGCAAGTATGAAAGAGGAACCTATTCATGACAACATATGGAGCCTTTCATTCAAATGAGCAACTGTAAATATATAAATATATATAAGGCCTGAGATAGCAGATGGATTCTACACAGAAATCCATAGCTCTGGCCCAAGAAACAATGGGTTTCAAAGGGGGGAAATATCCTCCAGTGGGCAGCACAAGTTTCACAGAAACAGCATTTCGTTATCGGGATATATACGATAAGGCGTTTCAAATCCAATGTGACTAAAGGCAGTGAAAATCCAGTAGATGTTGCCCTGACAGCATACAAAGAAATCTGTATAAAACGGAGCTGTGGGAAAATGAGGCAGGGCGGGGCACTCCGTAGCCAGCGGCAGGTTGAAAGAAAGCCTACACAACCCACACAAGTTTTATCTGATCCCCTCCTGCTGAAGGATAGAACCCAAACACATCTGATGCCATCCATCTCACAGTTTTTATGGGATGGATCAGTTTGAGGAATGCCAAACAGACAAACCCTGCGCCCTGCTTTAAAGATTGGAAACAGATGGGCATTTCATTCCCATGGAGGCTGGTAACCGTGAAGGCCACTGCTGTGACGGAGACACAGCCAGGAAGACAACACTTCGGAAATCCTGCACTGAGTGAGGGGAGCGAGCCGTAGAAGTCACACCATGTGTAGCTTGATTCTTGGGTGATTGAGTTCATTCTCATGAAGATTAGAGGCCGTATGTGCCCCTAGAAGAAGGAAATGGCAGAGCACTTCTGAGTATTCTCTGCCTGAAAAGCCCTGAAAAAAGGGTCACCATAAGTCAGGAGTGACTTGATGGCACATCATGACTACTCTAGAAAGACAGGCATTGTTTGGACGTTCCTTCCTAGTAAATCTGCAGCAAAGCCACGGATAGCAGGCTAGCAGGACAGAAGATCTTGATTGCAGTCTTATTTTGGGATCATCTATGGAGCTGTGCATAGGGACATGGTGGCGCTCTAGGTTAAACTGTGGAAGCCTCGAAGCTGCAAGGTCAGAAGACCTGGAGTCGTAAGATCAAATCCACGCAACGGAGGGAGCTCCCGTCGCTTGTCACAGCTCCTGCCAACCTAGCGGTTCAAAAGCATGCAAATGCAAGTCGATCAATAGATACCACCTCAGTGGGAACGTAATGGTGTTCTGTGTCTAGTTGTGCTGGCCACGTGACCACGGAAACTGTCTTCGGACAAACACAGGCTCTATGGCTTGGAGACAGGGATGAGCACTGCACCCTTGAGTCAGATGCGACTGGACTAAATGTCAAGGGGAACCTTATGGAGCTGTGCATATGTTCTCCTGATGAGAAAGGACCTTTATTTTGTCTATCTCTTCTAGTTGGGAATTATGTCACCTCTACAGACCTTCCTTACAAAAAGAACTTGAGTTTACAGTATTATTTCAGGGCCTTTACTGCAGAGTAGAAGGTGGAAACTTACTTTAAAAGTGACAACTTACAATTATATTCCCAAGGTTCAACAGCTACTGTAGTTGCAATCATAGTTATAGCTTTCTGAAAGTAACACTTACCAAAATAAGTAAGCAATTGCTTGTATCTACTTTTATTTTGTTTTGTTTTTAAATCTGAATTTTTCTTTTCTTTTCATTTTTTAGCAACTTGGGACACAACACAAACCAGCACTTGAACCGTGTGAGATTTCTACTTTGGACTTCCGCTAGTTAGAGCCTCACTAGACATGCTGGATCCCGTAATTAGAAGTAGTGCTCCCTCAAGTGGTAAAATAGGTAGAAGTAACTGAAAAAAAATGCATTAACCAAGGAAGCCTGACTGCCTTCGCCAGGTATTATTACTGAAATGTAAACATTGGCTTCTCTTGCAGGTACAAGTGTGATAGATCAGTGGTTTGCCGGGCAGAAGAAACTCTCCCATAAATATAAAGGAAACTAAAAATGCAGTTATACCATAAAAGGTGTAAAGGTAGGCCTCATCATGTTGCAGCCATGATTTTTTAAGTGAAAAGAAAATAAACATTAAAAAGTAAACAAACACAAAATTGTGGTGGCAGTTTAAAGAGTAACTTTTCTATTTTTTTTAATGTGAGCTTTCCTGGATAAATCCACTTCATCAGACATAAGAGAAGGAGATCTCTCTCTCTAATATATCTTACTGATTGGAAGAGAGAATTAATGGTGAGAATCCAATCAAATTATGACAGTGTAAGTCCACTGATGTAAATTGCAGTGGTTGATTTCCTATTAATGAGGAAGTCAACATTTACATTTTTGCTGTATGCCAATGTACACAGTGGGTGTAAGTTAACAGGATTCCAGCTGCTGATCAGTAACTACTTATGCCACTAGTTACTTCCTAGATCTGTTCCAGGGTTTATTCCCAGCCCTGTCTACCTGTTGCCCTCTATATGTACTGTAGTTGGAGTTGCAGTTAGGACCACACTAGTTACTTCCTAGATCTGTTCCAGGGCTTATTCCCAGCCCTGTCTACTTGTTGCCCTCTATATGTTGGAGTTGCAGTTAGAACCACCACCACCACCAGCAGCAGCAGCAGCAGCAACAGCAGCAGCAGCAGCAGCAGCAACAACAACGACAACAACAACGACAACAACAACAACAACAACAACAATAGAACTGCAGAGCTGGATGGGACCCCATGGATAATTGAGTTCAGCCCCTGTCAAGGAGATAGAGTGGGGAATTGAACTCCCAACCTCTGGCTAGACTGTTGGAACTCCAGGATCCCTCACTTTTAGTTATGCCGACCAAGGCGGAAGGGAATTGGAGTCCAACCGTTGTATCTGCACGTTGCCACTCATGTTGGTGTCAGGTCTCCAGGCGCTAGACATTATGTTACTAAAAATGGCCCCGTGTTCACACAAGAGGGGGAGATCTGGGGAAAAGCCATAGGCAGGGCTGCAACAAGGGCGGGGTGACAGGGGCTGTGCCCCAGGATGCCCAAATTTAAACAGTGCCAAAGTCTAGAGGTGAATCTACTGCTCCCACATTCTCCTTTTTCTTGGGGGCATTTGCACCCGTGTCTCACAGAGGTGGGAGGCGATACTTCTTGTCCCAGGGGCCAAAATGGCTAGTTCCAGCTCCGCTAAGATGACAGAAATCCAACCCCAAACCTTTTCGACTTCCCTCTGAGCCTGCTTAGCAGATACGGAAGGTTTAACTGATGGGGCTGGGGATGGAACATGAATCAGGCCCCAGAAGAGAGCATCTGGAATGCTCAGGAGGGAGCGTGCCTCCCTGCAAATGCCATTGCAGGCCCAGCTGGTATCTCCCCATCTCTCTAAGGAACTAAAGAAAAGGCTTGCAGTTGGTGCATCTCAGGAGACTGGCTGCCCTCCAGAGGCTCACATTCCAGCCGGTCTCCCCCTGCAGTTTCCAACACACGGCTCGGCCAACTTACAGCTGTTCCAAAGAATTCATCCCCTTGAATGCGTGTTGCTGGATGCTTTGGATTTCATTCTTGTAAAGATAGCTTTTGCAAAGAGAGAGAGAGAGAGAGAAAAAGAGAGCAGAATTATATACAGATGGCTGGGGAGTAACACGGTCATTACATTACAGGTGAGCTTTTTTCTAAAAGGGAGGTGAGGCTCACTATAAATCCACATGGCACTGTTGTGTTGTCCATTTTCTCATGGGGAAGGGGGACTGGTTTGTTCAGCTAGCACGAGAATGTGCATGACCAAGGAATCCTACTTACAGCACAGTGGGTAGGAATGTGCCATTAGGATTTTTTGGACTACGAACCCCAGAATTCTTCATTCTGGGAGTTCCCTCTGACAGACTCACCCTTAAGTTTCGCTCACCTGGAGACAGGCCCAGCTTGAAGGCTGGCTACCTGGTCTAGCACAGGCCTAGCTCCACTAGCTTCCTGTTCAGAAAGGAAGTGCTCGGATGCTAGCAAGGTGGAACTAGGCCACAAAGCCTTCAAACTTGGCCATTCCAGAGAGACAGCATACGAATAAAGTGATCAGTTGGTACCAAATGTGTATCAAAACCTGCTCCTGACTGGAGGCTCTTGGATAACAGCCCAAATCCTGTTCGTCACAGCTGTGGCTGTAATGCCTTTGGCATGACTTTTATTGACAAATTGCCATGGATTAAGAAACTGTAGGCACCTCCTATGGCACACCACCCATCGTTTGACCGTAGGAAATGCTTACGTCAACTGGTTAAAATGTGGGAGTTTACCCCTGAACTTTACGCTGATGGTGTTATGCCAGTAGGTCTCGCAAATAGGACTCTAGGCCTTGTTACTCAAGGTGTTATGCCAGTAGGTCTCGCAAATAGGCCTTGTTACTCAGAAGTAGCCTTTGGCTGGAAACAGATGTGTGCGACTAAACTGGGCAGCCAGATCTTTCAGATCTTGGGAATTAGCTGATGGATTATGGGAGTCGTAGTCCAGCACATTTGCAGAGCATCATTTTAGATTAGGCATCTTTCAGTCTTGAGAGACTATGGTAATGTGCTCTGTATGGAGGTCTTGGAACAGCGTCTAGTGTGGCTGAGAAGGCCAATTCGAGAGTGAACGTCCCTTCCATACTGAAGACAAATACAGTCTGTCTCCTGTCCGGCTCCCTGATTTTGCTGCTTTCGGGACGGCCTCTTTGCCTCGGCCTGCTGGACAAGGATCTCCTCAAATTGAGAGACACCATGATGCCCCGCCTGCCTCCAGGCTGAATGCTCAGAGATCAAGGTTTCCCATCTGTTGAGGTCCATTCCTAAGGCCTTTAAATCCTGCTTGCAGATCTCCTTGTATCGCAGCTGTGGTCTCCCTCTGGGGCGATTTCCCTGCACTAATTCTCCATACAAGAGATCTTTTGGAATCCCACCATCAGCCATTCTCATGACATGCCCAAGTCAGCGTAGACATCGCTGTTTCAGTAATGTATACATGCTAAAAATGCTCAGGAATGCCCTGGATGAGGACACGCCATGCAACTATGGCAGAAGCTGTCTGATGCTGTTTAAAGCAGCACCAGAGAAGGAGCTCCGGGTAATGCTTGCAAGGCTATGAGGTCTCCACTGGCCCAGGGTGCCTAAAACACTAGTCTAGTTACTCCCATGCAGTTATATCCATAGTTAACCTTTTCCTAGTAAGCTTTTTCAATTTTTTGAAAAAAAATAAACACAGAGACAAAGCAAGAAGAAAGCACAGGAAAACACTGACAGCCAAACGGTACTTTATACAAGTGGGAGATTATTTGAAGAAGGGATTCTTTAAGTGTTGAGACAATCTGATTTTCGCAGCAAGGACTTTTCAAGGCTGCAAGCTAGCTTGTTTTCCTCATCCGGAGGTAAGCACTAACCACTCAGTTGTCAGAAAGCAATATAAAATGTCAATCTTAATTCGGATTATTCACACACACACACACACAATTTTTTTTTGGCTTTCACTTAAACATCCATTCTTTTCTTTCAGGGTTGTCTTTATTACACTCCTACACCTGCTGGAAAAATACTTGCATGCAATTTGACACATTCCAGCAATGTTTTAATTCTCTGGCTTATATATTGAAGGAACAGAAAAACTACTCACAGGTATTTTAAGTTTTCGAGCTCTTCAAAGGATCCTTGTGCAATGTGCTTTATTTGATTGTTGTTCAAAAGCCTGCAGGAAAAAAAGGGAAAAGCAAGCAACCTGTTTCCAAAAATGCAACTTTTCTTATGTCTGATCATGGGATTTCTGGCTGGAATCCTGTTGATGTATATGTGAGTTTTACATGAATTGACTGCCTTTGATCACCTGCGTGGCTCTTCATTGCACAATTGGCCACGAGACCAAGTACCTGACCGAGAGGCACTCTGAAATCCTGCAGGAAAAAAAGGGAAAAGCAAGCAAGCTGCATGATCTTGGAAACTTGTTTCCAAAAATGTAACTTTTCTCATGTCTGATCATAGGATTTCTGGCTCAAATCCTGTTGGTGTTCGTGTAAGTTTTACATGAGTTGACTGCCTTTAATCGCATGCGTGGCTCTTAATTGCACAATTGGCCACAACACCAAGTAGTACCTGGCACCCTGATACCTCATCCTTTAACTGCAATTCAGCACAGCAAGTTAGGCAAATCTTATGTGTGCTGAAATTTTATTTGCAACTTTGCATGCTGTCTGTAGTTTGTGTTTGTGGGACTTCTCTGGGCAGGGAAGATTGTCTGTAGCATTAACCAATTCTTCCTTCCACACTTTGATTCCAAAGAGACCCTTGCCTCCCTGCTGAGCATTGCTTTCTCTCTCTTTAGTTTGTTGGTCGGTTCAGCTGGTTGCTAAGTATGTGTGGAGTAAAGAAACCAGAAGGCACCAGTCTGTACTTTCAGGCAACTGTAAGTAAAGAAATGTTTTTTCATTGTTTCTCCTACAAATGTCTCAAGAGTGCATTATTGCAACTCTGGATCCAGGTTCCAATTAATACGAAAGAGGTGGACTCTGGAGAACTTGTATACAGCTCCTTGTAGTGATTCTTCTCTGTGAGTTTCTGTGTTTCTACGGTGTAGCAAAAAGGCATTTTGCCAGAAATTCAAAACTCTGCAACACTGTGGACCGCAGTAGATTCTAGCCAATATTAAAGAACAATATTATTGTTAATTAAAACTCAAGAAGAGGAAGAATGATGAACGGCCAAGGGGAATCAGACTTGTAATGACCCTCCCAGGGTGTTCTAGGTATGAAGTATCCACCTATTGTTAACCAGGCCCTCTTTCCAATGGCACAGTGTGACCACGCACAGCTTGGTCAAGGGCACATAACCCCAACAGCCGCACACTTTCCGGGCGATCTTGGCTGGTTCCTCTCTTAGGGATCACAGGGATGATGGAAGCTCCCAGCTCTGATGGCCCAGACAGGCACTACAAACCTCAGGCATTCTGAAAAATAACATGACTTAACAGCCGAAAACCACCCACCCCATTTGACAGCAGCAGCAACCCCCGCTCCGTCCCTGAATGAAGTGGCTGAAAAGAAAACAGCAACACCACCCCATGCCCAAACCTTGAACTTATGTGTGGCACAATCCAGAATTTTTGCCTGGGGGAAAAATGAAGTCCTCCTGGAGTGTCACTCCAAGATTCCCCACCTTTTAGGAGCTGTAAGCCCTTCCCCTTACTTTTTCCAAGCTCTGCATGACAGAGACAAAGGAATTCAGACTGGCAACAAGGGGTGGTTTTTGGAGAGCTGAACTCCACTCACCCCCCAGCGCTCTAGCGTGTCTCCCCCTCAAGACCCTTATTGTTGCGTTTATCCTTGAAAACAACAGAAACAAGATGGAACAGATGAGAGAGATCTAATGCTCTCCCTGACCCCTTCATTCAGGCGGGGGGTTAGACCAAAAAGGCACGCCGAGCTTGTGGCTGAACACAAGCCATCTGCACCTGCAAAGGACACGCATGACATCCCCTCTTTTCAAGCGAGGGCGGTGTCCGAGTTCGACCATCTGCCGGCCTGCTCGGGGTGGTCCAGCTCTAGGTACCTTCAGGACAAATCAGGACAGAGACGATGGGATTCTGTCCACAGCTTTGTTTACCTCCCTGCTCTGTTTCCCCCATGTGTTGTCATGGCATCCCTTTGCAGTCCCACAGCTCATGAGAAAAGGCTCCGGGTCGTGGATTCCAGGCTAATCTTTTTTGGCATCGCTTTCCTGCCTTTGGCAACTAAAAATCCTAGCAGACTTGGAACCGGGCAGAGTCGGACTGGACCATCGCCGAGGCCACCTCTGTGGAGGCCCACCTAAAGCTCCCCCCATCCCTGCAAAATGTTGACATAGGCTTCGGTTGTGCCTGTTTAGTAGGTGCTGCATGGATCTTATCTCCAGCACAGGGGGGAAAAATAATCCAGAGTATGGCTTAAAAACAAATTATACTAATATTTATTCTACCTCTTTTCCAGAGACTTCCCATCCTCAGGGACCGCATGCATGTTTTGAAGTTGTATGTTCCACTCTAAGACTTATTTTGAACCAAAAAAAGAGGCTGTCGTACAGAGGAGGGGCAGGAATCTGCCCTCAGTCCTTCGTACTTTATGATTGTATGAGAGCTTGAGTTCCTAAATCAGGGGTAGGGGAAACTACAGCCCTCAGATGCTGTTGGATTGCAGGTCCCATCAACTCTAGCCTGTATAGGCAACGGTCAGAAATGATGGGAGTTGCTGTCCCGCAAATTCTGAAGGGGGACACACGTTTCCTTCTTTGGCTGTGCTAGATCCACACCGACGTCTTGAGCTCATTGGCAAGTAAATGAAGGCAGTGGCACCAAAGCAGTGTGTGTGGGTTCTACAAACAGATACACCGGCCAAGAATCTATGTCTGGTTTAACTCAAGTGACATAACTTTTAGTGTGGGTTCTACAAACAGATACACCGGCCAAGGATCTATGTCTGGTTTAACTCAACTTTTAGTAGAAAATCACTGTCTTTATGAAGCCAGCATAAGCATTTTTGTTGTTGTTGTTACAAAACAAGGTGTGCTGCTTATATACCACCCCATAGTGCATAAAGCTCTCTTTGGGCAGTTTACAGCATAATTATACAAGGAACACTTTGCCCCCCACCCGCAGTGAGCTAGGCACTCAATTTACTGACTTGAGTCAACCTGAGTTCTGAGTCTTTACTGCAGTACAGTATTCTACACAAGACTCTTGAACTCAGTATGCAACAGGAATTGCCTACTCTGTCTTGTAAAAAGAGAAAGGTAAGGGTTCCCCTTGACAATTTGACCAGTTGTGTTAAACTCTAGAGGGCGGTGCAGTTCCCCTTGACAATTTGACCAGTTGTGTTCAACTCTAGAGGGTGGTGCACATCTCCATTTCCAACCCAAAGAACCAGCGTTTTTGTCCGAAGACAATCTTCCGTGGTCACGTGGCCAGCACAACAGACACAGAACGCAGTTAACTTCCCACTGTGGTGGTACCTGTTTATCTAGTAACATTTTTGCATTTTGCATGCTTTCGAACTGCTAGGTTGGTGGGAGCCGGAACAAGCGACAGGGGCTCACTCCGTCCTGTGGATTCGATCTTACAACTGCTGGTCTCCTGACCTTGCAGCACAGAGGCTTCTGCGGACAAAAGTTATGCCGTTTGAGTAGTGCTGGCAATAGGACTTTGGCGGACCTTGCAGCACAGAGGCTTCTGCAGCCAACAGTTATGCCGTTTGAGTGGTGTTTGGCCAATGCCTTGGCAGTGCACAACAATTTAGTATCTGGTGGTGCAACTTAAGGACATTTATTGGAAGCACATTTCAATGAGTCCAACAGCACTTGCTCCCTACCCTACTGAGTCAGGGAGGAAACTAGCTTTGGTACAGCACAGTGCAAAGCAGCTCAAGGTTAAGTCTGTGGCATCTCTGTGGAAGGGGAAGGAACGACTTATTTCTGAAAATTCGGGGGTGGGGGTGGGGAGGAGCTTTTACCAGGCAGAGGGGAAGGACTGAGCTTCTTATATTCCACAGTGGATAGAAGACGGTTGATATCACCGTGACTCACCAATGAGAAGAAATATGATCGGCTCCCATGACAACCATAAACATAGCAGACCAGTTCAGTGAAAGGGGACCAGCTGGTAGTTTAGATGGCCTGGAGTTAAACCATGACAAGAAACAGTTCTCTCTGTCTGTCTCTACATAGAGGGGTTAAAATCCAGTGAAAACTGCTATCCCTCGTTGTCAACAACATTTACATTGCGGCACGATGCAAACATAGACAACAACAGCATTCTTGGCTTAGCCATGTAAACCTCCTTGGCTGAACTCTTTTTAACAAAAAACCTGGTCTGATAGTTTGAATCTCCATTGGGATTTCTTCCGTTCTAATTGCTCCACCGTTTTAAGCCTGTTCTAAACCAGCTTGTCATGTAACTCCTTGAAACATACACGGGCTACTATTTTGCAGTGTGATGTACGTAGGGTTGCCAGATACTCAGGTACTAAAAGGAGGACATAGAAAGACAAAAAGGAGGACAAAGGAGGACATATTGAATGTTTCATTTGAATCATTCCAGATTAAACCCACAATCAATACAATTTCATCCAAAATTATAACATAAAATATACAAAAGCCTGACATTTTAAAGGTTTTTATCTTTGCCTGCCTGACGGAGGACATTAGGCTAAAAAGGAGGACATGTCCTCCTTTTGCCTGACATCTGGCAACCCTAGATGTACAGGGTAACAACTCACCTGTGGAAACTCACAGGGCTATGACAAGAGTCAACCACTCCATGTGCTTCTCACGTACTTGAAACACCTTATGGGGGAGTCACCATATATCGGAAGCAACCGGGCAATAGCGAATAATAACAATTGCTTTTGCAGTTCACCCTGGGAAGCTTGCGACCTGCCTGACGGAGGACATTAGGCTAAAAAGGAGGACATGTCCTCCTTTTGCCTGACATCTGGCAACCCTAGATGTACAGGGTAACAACTCACCTGTGGAAACTCACAGGGCTATGACAAGAGTCAACCACTCCATGTGCTTCTCACGTACTTGAAACACCTTATGGGGGAGCCACCATATATCGGAAGCAACCGGGCAATAGCGAATAATAACAGAAGCTTGCTAAACATTCTGAAGAGCTGTTCTCTCCTGTGTGCCAGGATAGACAATCCACTGCTCATGCAGCAGAACAGCTTTTTAGCAACACAATGTATTACATGTCAGTTAAACACTCCCTGGTCTGAGAAGACAAGTATGGAAGGGCATGAAGTACATCATCATCATATGCCATCAAGTCAATTCTGACTTAGGGTAACCCTTTCCAGGGTTTTCCAGGTAAGGAATACTCGAATGTAGTTTCTATTCCCTTCTTCTTGGGACGGTGCAGCTTCCCCAAGGTCACACAGGTTGGCTCTTAGCACAGGAGTCACAGCAGGGGAATCAAACGCTCAACGTCTGGCTCAGCAGCCAGCTTCCTAAACCACTGAGCTGCCCAGCCAGCTGAAGTACATAAAGAAATCCCTAAATGAAGTAACCGCTGCTTCCTACTTTTCTTCTTCTGAAGAGGTTACTTACACCCTTCCAGTGGTGTAGTAATGCTGTGAATTTTAGGTTTGAGTTGCTGTAGGATTTAAGCCGGATAGGACTTCTTGATTAGCAAAGATGATGACATCTGATTTTGCTGAGTTTCACTGTATGATAAATGCATTCTTAAACCTGGTGTGTGTGTGTGTGTGTGTGTGTGTGTGTGTGCGCGTGTGTGCGTGTGTGCGTGCATGTGTGCGTGCACGCGTGTGCACTGTGCCATTTGTGAAGCAGAGTGCAGACTAGTTAGGATATGACACAGGGAGGAGGGGCAGGAATATAAAATATATTTAATATAGTTTAAGGTTAAGTTTCCCCTTGACAATTTTTGTCCAGTCGTGTTCGATTCTAGGGGGCGGTGCTCATCCCCGTTTCCAAGTCATAGAGCCAGCGTTTGTCCAAAGACAATCTT